CTTGACGGATGCTCTAATATAAGATCTCGGTAAGTGCTGATGGGAGTTTGAAAAAAGCAAAGGCGTTCATGGAAGGGTAGGCATTGGTCAGCCTGCCTGGCATCAGTTAACATATGACATCTCTAAAACAAGAATTAACATTTAAGTACCAAATAGATTTTAGTTTAGTGTGACATAATTTCAGTTATGTGAAGGAGAATGTTTGGGAAGGTGCTTGATAAACTTGGTCCTCTCTTGACAGGATGCAGGAGCGGAAGGGGCTGATGGCACTGGGCAGTGTGAGGGCAAGGAGGAATGCACATGGACTTGTGTTTCACAACCCTAGAAGAGACGCTCCTTTCATTTCCAGACCAAGGGGTTATGGTTGTTACACCTGTAGAGGGAGGTATGACCTTGGAGGGCAGGCAGGCAGTACTCTGGAACCTGCTACCCTAACAAGAAAGAGATACGGGAGTGGTTACATTATTTCCCCCACCCTAGGTTGGTGTGGGCAGCTCAGGAAAATGTGTCTTGGTGCCTTGAAGACTATCTTATTCAGGCCAAGAGCCTCAGGACAGGGCCCATCCTTCCTATGGCTGCAGAACTGACATAAGATAATTAATGTTCATTAGAAAGATCCTAAGAAACTGAGGGATAACTTGTTTTTTAACCTTTTAAAGCCCTATAGAATCTTAAAGAGCTCTGGCTAAGCAAGGGTCGATTAAATTACGTATAGAATGTTGAGTTCACACCTTAGGCAGCATGGTTTTAGTCTTCTTTGTTTCTTTTAGGCACCTCATGAATTTGACACGTCACTGGGTTGAGAATAATATTTGGATTCTAATCATCTATAACTGGAAGGGATCTGGTCTTAGATAACATGCAGCAAATTTTCTTTCTAATTTTGAGAGGAAGTTTGAAAAAAGCAAAGGCATTCATGGAAGGGTAGGCATTGGTCAGCCTGCCTGGCATCAGTTAACATATGACATCTCTAAAACAAGAATTAACTCCCCAGATTTCAAGATTTACTTAGTTACCTACATTTTTAACCTGTTGATACCTAAGTTTGGACATCCATCATGTAACCTAAAGAGAGGGGAGAAGGAAGGGACAGGCCCAGGAGCTCCGAGGAAGACCAACAGTCTAAGTAAGCCAGGGCCTTGCCCAAATTTTCCCAGTTGTGATTTGGAGTCGAGGGAGAGCACATGGAGGGGCTAATGGCTGTTGCTGTTAACTTACTTCATTCATTCATTCATTCATTCATTCATTCATTTTTCAGACTTCTTGAAGGAAATAGAGACTTAATATTTGTAAACTAAATTTATTCTGGAAATTACATATTATGCCAAAAGCTTTAGAATAAAAATTACTAATTGGGAATTTTTTTATTGGACTTTGAGCTTCTAGATAGTTCTGTTCTGTTGAATAAATGTACAGATAAGTTCCTAGGTAGTGAATTTATCAGTACTTATTAGTGTGCTTGTGTTTCTTTTGTAACGTTGCATAATGTTGGCCACTTGCCCACTAGCTGATAGACCTAAACCCAGTCTGTAATATTCCATATTTCTTGTTGAATTTTCATCATAAATGAGATGGTTCCTGCACTGTTTCTTGGGGTTTCATCTTCTGGGACTTCTCAGTTGGATCAGTAGGATCCGTTGACCTGAAAAGAGGAGTCTTGTAGAAAATGTCCTGGCCTGGTCTCTTTCCTGTATCTTGGGATCTGTCCAAAGGAGGCCTCTGGCCTTGGCTGCCATAAGGGGGAGAGAAGGCCTTGTCCCCGCTGAGCCAGCTGGGGTGTGGGTAGACACCAGGGGCACTCTCGGGCTGGATGGTGCTCCTGGCTATGTTCTAACCACCAGCTGCCATTCCTAAAGAGCAGTTTACCCTGGTGGGGTTTGGACACCCCAAAGGGTAGCACTGTCTGCAAACAGCCTGGAGCAAAGCTGGAAGCCCTGAGGACTGCCTCCCAAGTTCAGGATCGTGACAGTAAGACAGACTGGGGTGTTTCTGCACTGGCTCCTTATCAGATAAGAAGGTTGTTAAGTGTAAAAATAAAAGATCAGAAAGCTTAAAAAAGTTAAGTTCTTTAATACTTGGCCCAATATGGAAATCAGTGAAAAATAAGAGTATATTAAATAGTGGAGGATAGTGCTATTTGGTGTTTAATCATGATATACTTTTAATTATAGAGCCCTTCTCTGCTAAAGTAAATTAAACTTACCTCAAAAAGCAGAAATTAATGATTTCAAAATACAAGATTGTGAAATTTCAGCCTAAAAAAACTGCACCTCTGACCTCCTTGGGATATGCATTGTGCTTTAGGATTAATGTTAAGATGAGTGAGTATTTTAACATCAGTAACTGGAGAAATGCGTTAGGCTGAAGTATTTGTAGTGCTGCCTTTTATTGTAACAGGATTTTGTAAACTGCCAAAAAATAATTTGGGCACCGAATGTAACTTATTTTTATAATGAGCTTTCTGTGGTAACAGTATATATTTATTATGATGGGATGGGATTTGACTTGCAACAATACTTTTAGATGGAAAAGGGTAATGATGCCTGCCATTTTAATGAACTGTTTGTTCAATTTCTACAGAATTCAGAAACAAATCCTATCACTATACCGACTCACTGTTACAGAGGGAAAATGAAAGAAATCTGTTTTCAAGGCAGAAAGCACCTTTGGCGAGTTTAAATCACAGCTCGGCACTGTATTCTAACCTGTCAGCACACCGTGGATATCAGACGGGCACATCTGTTGGAGGTGATGCCAGAAGAGGCTTCTTGGGCTCGGGATATTCTTCCTCGGCCACTACCCAGCAGGAAAACTCATACGGAAAAACCGTCAACAGTTCAACTAATGTCAGAACTTTCTCTCCAACCTATGGCCTTTTAAGAAATACTGAGGCTCAAGTGAAAACATTCCCTGACAGACCAAAAGCTGGAGATACAAGGGAGGTCCCTGTTTACAGAGCTGAAGATTCCACAGTTGCCCGCGAGTCGTACCGGGACCGCCGAGACAATGTGGCGGCAGGTGCTTCGGAAAGCGCACGATCAAATGAGAGGACCGTCATTCTGGGAAAGAAAACAGAAGTGAAAGCCACAAGGGAGCAAGAAAGAAACAGACCGGAAACCATCCGAACAAAGCCAGAAGAGAAAATGTTCGATTCTAAAGAGAAGGCTTCCGAGGAGAGAAACCTAAGATGGGAAGAACTGACAAAGTTAGATAAAGAAGCGAGACAGAGAGAAAGCCAGCAGATGAGGGAGAAGGCCAAGGAGAAGGACTCACCGAAGGAGAAGAGCGTGCGAGAGAGAGAGATCCCGATTAGTCTCGAAGTATCCCAGGACAGAAGAGCAGAGGTGTCACCGAAAGGTTTGCAGATGCCTGTGAAGGATGCTGGTGGCGGGACGGGTAGAGAGGCAGAAGCAAGAGCGCTGCGGTTCACGTTGGGCACCAGAGATGCCACTGGTTCTCTGCAAGGCGATTCCATGACAGAAACGGTAGCAGAAAACATCGTTACCAGTATCCTGAAGCAGTTCACTCAGTCTCCAGAGACAGAAGCATCTGCTGATTCTTTTCCAGACACAAAAGTCACTTACGTGGACAGGAAAGAGCTTCCTGGGGAAAGGAAAACAAAGACTGAAATAGTTGTGGAGTCGAAACTGACTGAGGATGTTGATATTTCTGATGAAGCTGGCCTGGACTACCTTTTAAGCAAGGATATTAAGGAAGTGGGGCTGAAAGGCAGGTCAGCCGAGCAGATGATAGGAGATGTCATCAACCTTGGCCTGAAAGGGAGGGAGGGGAGAGCCAAGGTCGTCAACGTGGAGATCGTCGAGGAGCCTGTGAGCTACGTCAGTGAGGGGAAACCAGAGGAGTTTTCTGTCCCATTCAAAGTGGAGGAGGTCGAAGATGTGTCCCCAGGCTCCTGGGGGTTGGTTAAGGAAGAGGAAGGTTATGGAGAAAGTGATGTCACATTCTCAGTTAATCAGCATCAAAGGACCAAGCAGCCCCAGGAGAACACGACTCACGTTGAAGAAGTGACAGAGGCAGGTGATTCAGAGAGCGAGCAGAGTTATTTTGTGTCAACTCCAGATGAATACCCGGGGGGGCACGACAGAGATGACGGCTCGGTGTATGGGCAGATCCACATCGAGGAGGAATCCACCATCAGGTACTCTTGGCAGGATGAAATTGTGCAGGGGACTGGAAGGAGGACACAGAAGGATGGTGCAGTGGGTGAGAAGGTTGTGAAGCCTTCAGAGATCCCAGCGTCCTCTCTGGAGGGGGACCTGGGTTCCACTCACTGGAAAGAACAAGCTAGAAGTGGTGAATTTCATGCCGAACCCACAGTCATTGAAAAAGAAATTAAAATACCCCCTGAATTCCATACCTCCATGAAGGGTATCTCCTCCAAGGAGCCCCGGCAGCAGCTGGTGGAGGTGATCGGGCAGCTGGAGGAAACCCTTCCCGAGCGCATGAGGGAAGAGCTGTCTGCCCTCACCAGAGAGGGGCAGGGCGGGCCGGGGAGCATTTCCGTGGACGTCAAGAAGGTCCAGGGTGCTGGTGGCGGTTCCGTGACCCTGGTTGCTGAAGTCAACGTCTCACAAACTGTGGATGCCGATCGGTTAGACCTGGAGGAGCTGAGCAGAGATGAGGCCAGTGAAATGGAGAAAGCTGTGGAGTCGGTGGTTCGGGAGAGCCTGAGCAAGCAACGCAGCCCAGCGCCTGGCAGCCCAGATGAGGAAGACGGAGCGGAGGCCCCGGCTGCTGGCGCTCGCTTCAGGCGTTGGGCCACCCGGGAGCTGTACATCCCTGCAGGCGAGAGTGAGGATGCTGGTGGGGCCCCTCACAGCTCGGGGCAGCACGCTCGCCAGGGCCCAGTGTCGGCCACTGTGGAGGTCAGCAGCCCCACAGGCTTTGCCCAGTCACAGGTGCTGGAGGACGTGAGCCAGGCTGCAAGGCACATAAAACTCGGCCCCTCTGAAGTCTGGAGGACTGAGCGAATGTCCTATGAAGGACCCACTGCAGAAGTGGTGGAGGTAAGTGGGGGAGGCGACCTAAGTCAGGCAGCGAGCCCGACCGGAGCCAGCCGGTCTGTGAGGCATGTCACGCTGGGTCCCGGTCCAAGTCCACCGTCCAGAGAAGTCATCTTCCTAGGCCCTGCCCCTGCCTGTCCGGAGGCGGGAGGCTCACCAGAACCTGGCCCGGCAGAGTCTTCTGCAGATACGGACGGACTGGGGAGGCACAGCACATTTGGCTCCAGACAATTTCATGCTGAAAAGGAGATTATTTTTCAGGGCCCCATTTCTGCTGCAGGGAAGGTTGGTGATTACTTCACAAAAGAAGAGTCAGTGGGTACCCAGACTTCTGTCAGGCAACTCCAGTTAGGCCTTAAAGAAGGGTTCAGTGGGCAAATCCAGTTCACTGCTCCACTTTCAGACGAGGTGGAGTTGGGTGTCAGAGGAGATTCTGTACACATGGAAGGGTTGCCAGGGAGCAGCACATCCATCAGGCACATCAGCATCGGGCCTCAGAGGCATCAGACCACCCAGCAGATAGTTTACCATGGGCTGGTTCCCCAATCGGGGGAGTCTGGTGACTCAGAGAGCATTGTGCACGGAGAAGGCTCAGCAGATGTGCACCAGGCCACTCATAGTCACACCTTAGGTAGACAAACCATTATGACTGAAAAGAGCACCTTCCAAAGTGTCGTTTCTGAATCTCCTCAGGAGGACAGTGCAGGGGACACGTCAGGGGCAGAAATGACATCGGGTGTTAGCAGATCCTTTAGGCACATTCGACTAGGTCCTACAGAAATGGAAACCTCTGAACACGTCGTTGTCCATGGACCCGTGTCCAGAACATTTGTGCTTGCTGGTTCAGCGGACTCCCCTGAGCTAGGCAAGTTAGCAGACAGCAGCAGAACGGTAAGACACATTACACCAGGGCCCAAAGAAACTTCGTTTACCTTTCAGATGGATGTGAGTAACGTAGAGGCGATCCGCAGCCGGACACAGGAAGCGGGAGATCGCGGTGTGTCTGACCGTGGTGCCTGGACAGACGCGGACAGTAGGAATGACCAGGCAGTTGGCATGAGCTTTAAGGCCTCTGCTGGGGAAGGAGACCAGGCCCATGGAGAACAGGGCAAGGAGCAGGCCATGTTTGATAAGAAGGTGCAGCTCCAGAGAATGGTAGACCAAAGGTCAGTGATTTCAGATGAAAAGAAAGTTGCCCTCCTCTATCTAGACAATGAGGAGGAGGAGAATGATGGGCATTGGTTTTAATAAGCAGAAACATTTTGTCTTAATGGCATCCTGTTGGCGACATGCCAACATCCAAAGGCCTTAACTTTAAGAGGCGGAGGGAGTCTATGAAAATCTCCCCTTTTTTACTTTCTTAAAGAGTACTCCAGGCAGTGTTAATTTCCTTTATAGTTACTCCGTAAAGGTTTCCAGTTAATCCGTGCCTGAAAAGGCACAGCAATTTTATTTTTGAGTTGGGACTTTTACAAAACACGTTTTTTCCTGGAGTCTTCTCTCCACTTCTGGAGATGATTTCTGTGTTTTGCACCTGGTCACAGACATGGCTTGCGTCTGTTTGAAACTACAATTAATTATAGATGTCAAAACATTAACCAGATTAAAGTAATATATTTAAGAGTCAATTTTGCTTGCATGTGCTAATATGAAATAACAAACTAACATTTTAGGGGAAAAATAAATACAATTTAGACTCTTTCTAAAAAGTCTTTTCAAAAAGAAATAGGAAATAGGCAGACTGTTCATGTTAAAAAAATTTCTTGCTAAATGATTTCATCTTTAGGAAAAATTTACTGGCCATATAGAGTTAAATTCATGTTAAGACTTGAATGAATTGCTTTCTATGTACAGAACTTTAAAAAATATAGTATTTATGGAGAGGACAGCTGTAGTCTGTTGTGATATTTCACATTCTATTTGCACAGGTTCCCCGGCACTGGTAGGGTAGATGATTATTGGGAATCACTTACAGTACCATTTCAATTTTTTTGGCACTAGGTCATTAAGTAGCATACAGTGTGAATACCTTTTTTTTGGTATAGCCTAAGTTCTGGAGTGGCCAGTTCCTATCAGACTGTGCAGACTTGAGCTTCTCTGTACCTTAGCCCTTAGCACTCAAACATTTAATTTCACTGGTGGGAGGTAGACCTTGAAGACAATGAAGAGAATGCCGATGCTCAGACTACAGCTGGACTGGCAAGCTGGCTGTGTACAGGAAAATTGGAAACACACAGTAGACCATGCCTCCTAAAGATGCCTTTCCCAACCCTTCATTCATGGGATGCAGGTCTTTCTGAGCTCAAGGGTGAAAGATGAATACAGTAACAACCATGAACCCACCTCATGGAAGCCTTTTTTGCACTTTCAACAGAAGTCATTGCAGTTGGGGTGTTTCGTCCAGGGCAACAATCTATTAAATAGAAGGATGTTTTGGGGGAAGGAACTGGATCTCTCTCCTGCAGCCCAGCACTGAGATACCCAGGATGGGCCTGGAGGATGAGAAAGGCCCCCATGCTCATGGGCCGCAGAGTGTGGACCTGTAGATAGGCACCACCAAGTTTAAGATACTGGGATGAGCATCCTTCATTGGATTCGTTTCATTTTACACTTGGGTATTGTTTTAAAGTTTCCATCTGTAAAGTGTGGCATCATATAAAAAGAGTTTTGCTAGCAGCACAGCATTTTTTTAGTCCAGGCTAGCTTCTTTCACATAATGCTATCTCAACTGTACTTCCTGTAACACAGTATCATAGCACTGACTGTAGTGCACTGAGGAATAACAGTCTGAGGTAGCACCACCCTCAGGCAGGCTACAGTGAAGGCACTGGAGGGTCTTCCCTCTCAGATTCACCTGGAGGCCCTCAGACCCCCAGGGTGCATGTCTCCCCAGGTCCTAGTAGTGGCCACCCCAGGTAGTTTCCGGAGAGTGCATTTTCTTCATTGATAAGTGGAGGAGAAATGCAGCACAGCTTTCAAGATGATATTTTAAAAACACCAAGAATCAGAGTATGGAAAGAAAGTTGATTTGAATTGCAAGTTTAAACCTTTGTTGTCCATCTGCCAAATGAACTAGTGATTGTCAGACTGGTATGGCGGTGACTGCTTTGTAAGGTTTTGTCGTTTCTAATACAGTCAAAGATGTGCTGATTTTGTTTTAACTGTAACAAGTAATGGTTTTTGGATAGATAATTGATCGGTGAGAATTTGGTCAAGGTGACAGCCTCCTGTCTGATGACAAGACAGACTGGTGGTGAGGAGTCTAAGTGGGCTCAGTTTGATGTCAGTGTCTGGGCTCATGACTTGTAAATGGAAGCTGATGTGAACACGTAATTAATGTTATAACCCACTTCTATTTACTTTGTGAAATATCGTGAATCTTAATTGTCATCTGCAAGTTTGGAACACATAACTTCAAGAAGTATTCTGCCAGAAGTATTTATAAGTATGGAATCATGAGCTATTGTTGGTTGCTAAATCTGTGAATCACCCAGGAGTGTGCCCTTGACATTGTGACAGGTCACCCCAAAGCTCCATGTCCTTTAAAACCAGTCACTCTGGACACAAGAGAAATCAACTTCGTGGTTGGATGGGGCCGGAACACAACCAGTCTTTTTGTATTTATTGTTATTTAGACAAAACAGTACTCACTGAGTGTTTTTCAGTTTCCCACTGGTTGTTTTGATATTGTTTGTTTAAGATGTATATTTAGAATGGCATCATCTAAGAAGCTGATTTTGCTAAACTCCTGTTCCCTACAATGGGAAATGTCACAAGAATGTGCAAAAATAAAAATCTGAGGAAAAAACCCACATTGTTCTTAAAGAGAATGAATATTTTCAGTAGATTTTGATGTTTCCTTTAAACTCTAAATAAAGAATCTACGTGTTTACATGCATGTTTTTAGTGTAGCAGAGAATTACTGGGCAGAATATATATGAAAAGTTCCAGTTTTCTAATTCCTCCCCTGAATCAGAACTCAATATTGGGAGCACAGAGCTAGAAAGCACGGCAGATAGAGCATAAGCCAACTGGCTTGTATTCAGATACACACTGGACAATTTGTGGTAAAAATGTCATCATCACAGCCTGAATGATTAGTGGCAGTAGGGTACCACCAGCCATCCCATTTGGGATGGAGAGGTTTCTTGGGAGGTGGGACTTTGAGTGCTAAAACCAGGACTGTCCTGGGCATACCAGGGCATGGCCATTTCTTAGGGGCTTGAAAAAATTGAGGTAGTTTGAGACAAAAGAATAGCTAGATATCTTTACCTGTTTGTAACCTTGTAGCCCTTTACCAAAAATAGAAAAACACAAGTAGCTGTAGTCTTCCTTTTTTGTTGAAGTCAACAGAATTGCCAGATGGGAGACATTGGAGGGAACATTCCTAAATTCATTGTTTCCTGGGGTGGGGTGGGATGGGGGCGCTAAATTTTAAAAATGTGTTTTAGTTTTTGTGATTCCAAGATACCCTTCAAGAAATACAGAAAGGAAGAAGTAACATCATAATTCACATTTATTTAAAAAACTCAGCATGGACTCTCAGTTCAGGCTGCTGTAACAGAAAGCCATAGCCTGAAAGGCTTAAACAACAAACATTTATTTCTTACAGTTCTGGAAGCTGGGAAGTCTCAAGGTGCCAACAGATTCACTTCCTGGTGAGGGCTCTCTTCCTGGCCTGCAGATGGCTGCCTTCTCAGTGTGTCCTCACATGGTGGAAAGAGAGATCATCTCTCTGGTGTCTCTTCTTATAAAGCACTAATCCCATTTATCAGGGCTCCACTCTCATAACCTAATCACTTCTCCAAGGCCCCACCCTCTAGTACCATCCCTTTGGGGATTAGGGCTTCAGTGTGGATTGGGAGCATATGAACATTCACCCCTTAGCAGACTCCACCCATGTCAACTAGATAAGAGACACAGTGAGTAATGACCACATCTTACACCTTTTTAGCACACTGCTGATGTCTGACAGGCCTGGGTGTGGGACCAGTGTTTACCAGCAAGCATGGTCTGCAGGGTCAGCTGTCACGCTCCTGAGGAAGACAGTGGACCCTGCTTCTCTCCACCCTGTCATGGCTCTATTAAGTTTCTTTTCCCCATCAATACTGGAGGTGGTGCCCTGCACAAATGGCCCCAGGGTGGTTCGGATGTCCCACTGGGGGCTGGAGGGGAGGGCCCTGTGCTGCAGTCTGCTGTCATCTTAGCACTGGCCTGCAGCCTCATGGCCATAGGGGAGGGAGGGGAGGGGACGGCACTGCCTACACCTGCACCCCTACCCCTGTGTGTTCTGTCCACCTCGAGCTGGCACTGGATCTTGTTGACATCGTGGAGAAAGGCGCTGAAAGCTTCCTGTTCGACTTTGCCATCCTCACACGACTATGGCCTCCTTCCGGGAGGCTGAAGACTGCTGTGTACACGATAGTGTGCCAACTCAGGAAGCAGCTCCAGGTGGCGTCCAGGTTTGTCCTGCCTGCAGTGGAGGCCACAGGAGGGATGCGAAGCAGCAGGGAGTCTGCGGTCCTCCCCTGGCAGCCTCCTGCTAGCCTTTCTTTTCACTCCCTTATACCTTCCCCCCTGGACCCCAGGCCAAGTCAGGTGTGTTGGCCTCCTGCCCCTCCTACTGGGCTCTTTCCCAAACCCCTTTTCAGGCTTCGAGGAACTCTGAGGCAGGCTGCACTTTGAAGACACATGCTGACACCAGCGCGTTCAGGTTTCCCTTTATTAGCGTTTTCTTCTCATGTTATTCTCAATCCCTATTAGCCTCCTATAAGAAAGGGCTTCCTTCTTGAATTTCACTGTTCCAGATCTGATTCCAGACCTATGCAAGGAGCTGTGTGTACAAGCAGATGTCGGGCTGACTCCTGCACAGGGTGCACCAAACTTTTGAAGAGAAGTTTTTCAGCCACAGTAGTGCTGATGGGTAAAAATTCTTTGTTAGCAAGAAAAACCACTTAGGTGATAGAAAGAAAACTGCTTTATAGCATATATCACCCTGAAGGGCATCCACTGTCAAAATGTGGCCAATGGGAGGCTTACGGTGTCACTGTTGCATGTTGGGGCCAACAGTTGGCCTTGGAAATCTGTATCCTGACTGTTGAATTCCATTTTCTAGGTGGAGACAGATTTATACAGCACCCTAAATGACAGTGCCCAGGAATGTCCTAGGCTTTTTCAGGGTGGGGGCGTCAGTCTGCTGTTGTGCCGGGCCGGGCCTTCGCCAGCATGGTGTCCTGAGGGATGCTGGTGCAGAAGGCCACTTTGGCTTTCGATGCCTGCCTTGGCTTCGCAGCAACCTTGGGGGCCCTGCAGACAAGCAGAAGTTGAGGTGATTGTGGTGCCCCTCAGTCCCCACACCGTTCCCATCCAGCCTTTGCTGCCCAGCCGGTGCCCAGACCTATTTATGAGAAGCCTCGGGAGGGGCTATAAATGAGAGGAGAATTGTAGCACAGAGCATAAAACGAGATGTTTTCCTTCCATCTTTTATTTTTTATTAATTTTTGTTTTCAAACAGAGTATCACACTGTCACCCAGGCTGGAGTGCAGTGGCCCAATCTCGGCTCCCTGCAACTTCCGCCTCCCAGGTTCAAGCAATTCTTGTGCCTCTCAACTTCCTGAGTAGCTGGGATTACAGGCACATGCCACCACACCCAGCTAATTTTTGTATTTTTAGTAGAGACAGGGTTTCGCCGTGTTGACCAGTCTGGTCTCAAACTCCTGGTCTCAAGTGATCCACCGCCTCGGCCTCCCAAGGTGCTGGGATTATAGGCATGAGTCACCTCGCCCGGCCCCGCCCATCTTTTAAAATCACCTGTGACCATCCCCACTGAGCTGAGGCACTCAACCCTTAGCTGTCTTGGTGAGCAGGACGTGGGTGAGGAGGATGGTCAGGGTTGTGCTGGAGGCCTCCCTGGCTCGCCTTCCCTGCTGGCCAGGTTTTCTCTGCTCCAGGCTGTGGCCCTGTTTCCCTGAGCACAGACTCGGGCAGCCCTGGGGCTGCTCCCTGTGAACCAGGATTTGTGAGGTGGGCCCTCCACAGCAGAGCGCTGGGCCTCTGCTCAGGGGCTGAGAAAGGACGTGGTGGGCCAGCCTTTAAGGTCAAGTCAGTGAACTCTCCAGCTGCAGTCCTGACAGGCATCCGAGGGCAGAGAGAAGCCAGAAGCAGGGCTGCAGGAGGCCACAGGAATTCCTGGGGCCCTCCCCCTGCAGCGGGTGCCTTAGCCTGCAGGGGCTGGTCTGCAGGAAGACAACATCCAGCATATATTTCTGACTTAAAGGATGAATTTTTAAAAAAATATCTGGGCAAGGAATTTATTTTACAACTTGGGTTTCAAAGGAACTTGTCCTTCATGGAAGTTATGGGAAGTCAGTAAAACATTCCAGAGAAGGTTCCACAGAATCTTCTAGAACCAGCTTCCTCTTGAGCTTCTGAATGGAAAGGGAATGAGATACTCAGAGAAAGTGTGAGGGAAGCCAACTCACGTGGAGAAGATGCCCATGGCCTGCTGGGTGGCCAGAGTCCTTTTGTCCTGTGGTCCGTATAAGAGGGTCTGGATCTGGAGACACTGTAGAACACCAAGCAGCTATCATAAGGCTACGGAAATGTCGCTGAGAGCAGGAAAATAAGGTCTCCCTTGAATGAGAGAAAGATCACTTCATTCTTAGACCCTGCTGTGATGGAATTACCACGTTCTTGGGGTTTTTCCTAGTGACTGACCTTTGATTTGGATGTTCTGAGGGATCTAGGCAAAAATGAACAGTTTTAGCACTATTTTACAAAACTCTCTGTGACTTATCTGTATGTAAACAATATATTTAAAAGTAGTATTTTTAAAAATAAAGGCAAGAACCTTGGTACTGACCAGAGCATGGGCTCTAGTTTCTATTTTTAAATGTGGCCCTTGCTATAGCCTGGAAAAGATAAAAAAAAAATAGATTTTTTTTTTTTTGGTAAACACATACTTTTATTAATACATGGGCTTTCTATACTGTTTACTACACAGCAATGTCTTAGTTATTAGGAGTCAAATACTCAGCTTATGGATTATCCAGGGCTGGCTTTGGCTTGATTTCTCCCTTCTGCTTACTTTAAGTCTTGCCATTTGATTGCTCGTCCCAGGCTAGGGCAAATCGAGGAGAGGAGAAAGATTAAAGCTGTGCCAAAAATGGCCAGAATCATTTTGAGAAAGAATGAGGTGCAGGAACTTGCTTTACTGGATGCCAAGACCCTTTTATTTTTTATTTTTTTAATAAAGTAAGACAGCACGTTAGCCAGGGTAGACAAAAAGACCAGTGGACAGGGCAGAGAGCCCAAGCCTTGACAGATGACAGAACTGACCTTGCAGGGTTGGTGAGGAAGAGGTGGGCTAGTCAATAAATGGTACTGGGACTGCTGGTTTTCCAAACAGAAGAAAATGGATCACTACCCCAAATCAAACACAAAAATTAAGCTCAAGAAAGATTTAAAGGACTAAATGTGAAATGCAAAACTTGGAGCTTTTAGATGAAAATATTGGATTTTTTTTTTTTTTTTTTTTTTTTTTTTTTTACAGAGTCTCACTCTGTGCCCAGGCTGGAGTTGCAGTGAGGCTGATCTTGGTCCCACTGAAACCTCCACCTCCCGGGTTCATGTGATTTTCCTGCCTCAGCCTTCTGAGTAGCTGAGATTACAGGCACCCGCCACCAGTTGGCTAATTTTTGCATTTTAATTTTTTTTATTTCCTAATTCTTTTTTTATAATTCTTATTTTTTTAATTATACTTTAATTCTAGGGTACATGTGCACAACGTGCGGTTTGTTACATATGTTCCAT